CCAGAATCCCCCAGCCAGCTGGGGGATTCTGGGAGTTGAAGTCCACACATCTTCAAGTGGCCCAGGTTGAGAAACACTGGTCTAGGAGTTTTAGCTCCTGCAACAATTTATCACCATCCAGAACCATGGAAATCTGAGAAAAGTTGGAACTACAAGGTTCCAAAAGAAGCAAATATCTGTAGCTCAGGGTTGAACTGCGGAGTCCTTGGGGTTCTCTGAGCTTGGTTGTTTTCTTGCCGACGTTTCGTTACCTGGCTAGGGAACCTCTTCAGTGCTAGAATGGGATGGGGTTTGCTCTCTGTTTCTATACTGTGGCAAAATACAAGCTTCCTTTCTCTTCCACCTCCAGCGCTTCTGAATTCATGGAGAGCCCCAACAATTTCTGCCGCCTTTGTGGCACCGTGCTGCGTGGGAATCACCGGCGATGGCTCTTCAGCCGAAACAGTAGCGGCTCACGCCCCGACCTGCTGGTGGTGCTGTCCTATGTCCTCGACCGAGAGCTTCCCCAGCGTGGAGATGGGCGCGGAGAATTCCTGTGCGGGAAATGCGCCCAAGCCTTGGGGCGGGTGTATCATTTTGATACTGTCATCGCCCGGGTTCAAGCTCTCTCCATTGACCGCCTCCAGCGCCTGCTTTCGGAAAAAGACCAGCTGGCCCGCTGTCTGCGCCACATCTATGCACGGCGGTTTCCAAATAACGGGGACTCTGCCTCCTACACGGGCCAAGAGATCTCAGCCAGCCTAGCGGATTTGCCCCAGGTCCAGTACCAGCGCCTTCTGCAGGACGATATGGCCCTTTCTGAATACGAGTGCTGGGCTGACACCCCCAACAGCAGCCAGCCGGGCACTCCGTGTCGCAACCACCAGTGTCACAGCTGCCACGGGCTGAGGGTGGATGACTTCAATTACGAGTGGGTGTGCCGGACTCCGAGACGGCTGGGAACGTGGTCTCCTGTCTTCGCCCTCTGCCGGGACAAGTCGCAGAGCATGCCCACGGTGTGTTGCGCTGGCTCCCAGGCCTCCCTCCGGTCCCCGAGCTTGGGGGACGTCGAGTCCTGCTCGATGCTCTCATTGGATACTTTGCCAGAATCGGATCTAGCCTGGGAAGCGCTGAAAGCCCTGCGGGGCATTAGAAGGAAGCGGCTGAGGGTCCCAGAGGGCAGCAAGATCCCTGTCCTGGTGGGCAGCTGGCGCATGGCCACCCCCCAGAGAGACAGCCCCGTGGGAGAAGAAGCCTATGATGAGCTGATGGATGAGTTTTTGCCGCTTGAGTCAAAGGTAAGAGGCACAAAGAGGTAAGGTGGGGTCAGCTGAGTTCAGGCATTATATTAAGCTGTGGTTGGTTCTAACCACCATTTGTTGTTTAAGACAGTGGTTGGATTCAGACATCCTGCTAAGCTATGGTTGTCTGAGATAGTGATAGTGATGGGTTCCCACATTCCACTGGGATCACCTCTTATGGGTTCAGCCATAATTGATTTGTTTGATTGTGGAATCAAATCACATTATGGCTGAACCCATAAGAGGTGATCCCAGCTGTGAAGTTTCTACTCAACCTTCAGTGTTCCTTTCTTGAGGAAGGACAGAATGACGTAGGACTCTGGGACAGCTTCAGCCATGGTGGAAGATGCACTTTACTTTCACAAGCCTCCTTGGGGTCAGGCTGAGAGCTGGCCTTTCTTTCTTCAAAGTCTTACCATGGCAGCCAGCGTTTGGGCTCCGTCTGCAGGGGTGTCCACAAGGGAGGTCAAAAAAGTCAAGATGGCAGGTGCATCCATGCAAGCAAATCCCTGCCCCTTTCTTGCATCCATGTGACATCTGCAATGCCCCGTAAAAAGGGGCAGAGCTTCAATTCCTCAGTGGTGCCTGCCATCTTGATTTTTTGTCCTCCCCCATGGATACACCTAGTGCAGGGACTGAAGCCCAGGATCTCAAGGGCACCCTTGGCAGAAAAAGAGGCGTAGCTGTGGAATTCTTGGAGTTGAAGCCCACGCATCTTAAAATTGCCAAGATTGAGCAACACTGCTCTAGGGGAGGCCCCATGGACTTCATGGGGAGGTCCCTGAGACTTCAAGGGTGAAAAAGGAGATGGGATGAAGGGAACTCAGAAAGGAGCCTTGTGGTGCATCAGCTGAAGACTGTCTCTGTTACCCAAAGACCCTGAGAAGGAGATTAAAGCTTAGAAAGCTTAGCCCTGGGCCAGAAGCCAGCATAGGTGGGGAATCAGGACTTCTGGCAGCCCAAGATGTTCTGCAACCCATTGGAAGTGTGAGTTTTGAATGAATGCATGTCCTTCCCCAAGCTCCAGATTCAGCGGTCTCTCTACCAGGACCTTGAAAGGACTTTCAATAACTTGAAGGAACGCCTCGAGGCAGCCGAAGGAGAGCGGGAGAGCTTTCAGGAGAAGCAAGGAGAGGCACCCAGCCAGGTAGAGCTCTTGGGTCTTCCTTGTCTCCTCTCGAGCGGCGCCTCCCAAGAAGCTGGTACCACTCAAGGGCAGCAGAACTGACTCCTCCCCACACCCCACGGATTCTCCCTCTTTCGCCCAGAACATCCCCATTCATTCTCTCCGGCAGCAAATTAGCTTTACGCCTGATAAACAGGGCTGATTGCAGGCAGAAAGAGAACTAGTCCAGCCCCTCCATTCAAGGGGGCCTTGAATGTAACCTTATACCAGTGTTGTCCAAACTTGGCCACTTTAAGATGAGTGGACTTCAACTCCCAG